GGAGCATCATATATGAGATTGAAGCATTACAGCTATGCCTATAATTTGTCATTCATTCACTGGTTACCAGTGACTCATCCAATGCTTTGCTCCCAGTATGAGAGAGCAGAGCACCAACTACCGCAAGGATTTACTGACTAAATTGTGTTAGTTCTAGATGAGATCATCAATATGTTGCTCATCCTAAAGGATGAGCAGAAATGACCAAGCAGATGTGAGTAACTAGAAAGTTCCATCACTGATTTCCTGATTCTCCATAATAAAGGCAGAAAACATGGGAAAATGGACAGAAGTGAGGAAGAGGTTTTTTTTGTATAGATAATTAAACCATATCATGGAAAAAAGTCACTTTTGGGTTTTAGAGGAATCAGAAACTACAACTTGCTGTTTTAGTCTTTGATGGGCAGAATGTGACACAAAATCCAAGATTTTTATACTATTTTAATAAAATTCTAACTAAACCCAATTATGATGGTATTTGTAATTAAAACAATGACATTTTAACCTAATACTATTATCCTAAAAAGATTATTACTAGCATCACTCTTAACATACATGTAAACAAACATGGCATCACAATTAATGTGGACTTTTCATCATAACCTTAAACAATGCTGACTGATTCTTAATATGCAAGGTAAGTCTCTTCTCACTGGATATAAATGATTGACAATACTTCAACAAGACTCTCTGGCCATTCTTACAATAATATTTGTTCCCCGGAAGTTCAAGCAATTATTCAATAATTCCATGCATGTTTGATCATCAAGTGTTGAAAACTATTGGGTTGATTATTGATAAGTCAACCTATGGAATACATTTTCAACGCCCCCACACACACTCACACAAATAACAACTTCCTGTGGGGTTTTTATTTATTTATTTTTCTCTATATACAAGCTATAATGTTCTACATCATTTAGTGAAGAGCGGAAGCATCAAATGGGTGTGGAAAAATGAAGACAATTAATTTCTTGATGGCTTAATTTTCAACGTGTCATCGTTTTTGTTCAAAATGAAATACCGGTATGCTTCTATTGAACAGCTGTGTAATAAGGGCTTGACAAGGTTGCAACAGGATGGGTAAAAAATGAGGTATTGCTACACTTCACAGCACCTAGAAACATTTTCATTAATTTAAAACCTATACTTCAGGCCTAAAGCTAGACTGGGTCTCCTTTTTATTTCATTTAAAGGTGGACCTTTTTTTGTGCTAGAATTTTTGTATGCTTAAAGGGCATATTTGCTTTTGCTGTAATATTCAGATATGGATGAATTTTTGGGTTATTTAATTGATTGCCAACAAAATGCTAAATAAATATGACAAATTGGGAGTAGTGTTTGAAAAAAAAAACCAACTTTATTTTGCTATGCTGGTTGGTGACCAGCGTTGGAATTTGTTACAAAATACCACTTTTCTTGAAAAGGTCAGCACACACCAGGTGCCGTGATTTTACAGGATGCTTTAGACTGTCATTCACTAACAGTCCAGTAAGGTATTTAATGATACCGGTAATTTGGTAGTTTGTTTTTTGATGTTCGCAAATGTTGTATATTCCCTTTAAAACCAAGTCTAAATTTTGAACTTTCAATGACAGAGAAAGATAAAGTTAGAGGGCCTGTTTTGATCCTATCGCAATTTTGCCAGTATCCTCGGGGTGCAAGTGGGCACTGACATTATTGCCTGAAATTTGAGGGAACAGGTACTATTACACAATTGCAGATGGATGTACATGTACATCCCTGCATCCTACCAATACTTGGATTGAAATGTCAGGCTGTCTTACTTTCAGGTAAATCAAGACAATAATTTAGCAGCAGCTCCTTTTTCTCAATATTGTTACATCTCATTAATCAAACAGGAGGAGTTGATGCAATCAACCAATCAGACTAAGAATACAATGTACCTCCCCCTCCTCCCCTAATGAGATTTCATTGTAATTCTCCATAAACCTTTAACAAGACATCCTTAGAAGAATACAGTGTGAAAGCCTACAAGATGAAATGCAGCATGACTCATACAACAGTCACTCAGCGAGCAAATTAAAGCTATACTATTGCGTGCCTGTTGTCATGGAAACACCTTTTCCACCACTGTAATTGGTAACAATTTACAGTAAACATCCGGATATCCGGACAATAATCCATAATGTCCTGCTGTTTATTTGATGTTTTGCTCACTCTAGTTTTTTTTATTTTCTGGCTTTATAATTTAAAGTAAAGGGTATCAATTAAAACACTTAGAATTAAAACATTCTCCATTGTAAAATTTATGGTCCAAAGTATGACATTTCCTGTTCCTTGGTACTTTGTAATTCGCCACTCAAATATCATTAAGAATAACTTCAAACAATTTATTTGGTGGGCAGGTAGTTTGCTATTGTAATCAGTGTTGCAGGACCATATTATGGAGTGCATCCATAAAATGTTATATGTCAGATGTAACAGGGACATGAAAACAATTGGACCACAATTTTGTAGAATGACCCATTTATCTATTCTCTTGCATCTCAGAGGAATTAATTAATGTTGGAGTAATGTGGTTATGCCATCATTGACTGTTTAACTGGAGAAACCTTAGATCTGTGCTTTGTTTAAGGATGCCAGCAGATGTTAAATTTGGGGAGGATGTTTCCCCACCCCCCTCCACCCGTCCAACCCATAACGTTAAAACAACACACAATAATTGTAAATGACAATTAACACTGAATTAACAAAAACATCTTGACAGATAGGGACTATATACCGGTACTTAGAAACCTGTCACAAAATAGTGTTAAGAAAGATTGCATATTATTGTTAGACTACAATTTCCGGATTACTTGTTATAATGGAATGGTCACCTTTTACATAATTTACAAAAATGTAGAAAGGCTCCTGGATGCACTATATATGGTGGGACAAAAAATCCAATCAACTGATATCAACTTCCTATTTTACATATCTGCAGGTACCACTACCCTCTAATCTTAAACCTTCATTTACAATGAATGAAACAGTATGCAACCTCAAAAATGTATGGTGGATCTGAATAATATAATTATCAAGGTTGCTACTTAGACCCCCCCAAAAAAAAACTATTAGGATTGGGGGAGGCCTTTGTCTGGTGGAGTGGTCATTTTCAGGCCACAGAGGTCAATAGGGTCAGTTGGATCAAGCAAACAACTTTGGTATCAATAAAAAGGGTCTTAATGAAGAGTTCTGTGAACAAGTTTGTGAAAGAGGGTTCACCATGAGCATTTGAGTCATAGTTTCAGAAGATTTAAATAATTTAAAATCATTTTTACTTTGTTTATTTTTTTTGGGGAGGGGGGGGGGGTTTGCAAATAAAAAAATAAAATAGTGCAAGCTGTGTGCTTGCCAATTTTTCACATTATGTGGGATTCAATGCCCTCTATAGCTATTGATGAAAACGAATGTTCTTCCCTAATATACATGTAGGTTTATGCTAAATCCAGAAACATGGATCATACAAAGTACTTTATAAATAATATTAATATGAACAATATCTCTATATAAGATACATATATATTAATATAATTATTACTAACAATTGTAACTCGAAGATATTTTAATGACGAATAGGTCTACTATGACTCAAATATCAATATAATAAATATGCTTATAATTCTTATTGTCTTAGCATTTTTCTGGTCAAGAGGAAGGTAGCATGTTGGATACAAATGTCCACATTATTAATCAGAAGTGCATTCGATATTTCTTTACTGATAATCCTAGCTCACTGAATGCATTGTACATGTAAATCAGTAAATGGTCATGTTTGCCAAGAAAAATTGTTGCAGTTATTACAAATAAATTGTTCCACAAAAAAGTTTCACATCAAAAACAGATTTATTTTTCTATTCTAAAATTAGCTATTAAGAAATGACTTCTTTCCCGCAGTTCAATCACTGACTTGACATGAAATGAACAGTAGATGATAAATAATAACTGAGTGCATTTAATCCATTATTTGCTGGCCTGACATGTACTCACAAATCATTTGACATGCAGTTTACACCGAAGTGTAAATGTTGAGATGAGGAAGTGGACTCCTTCATAAATATACCACACAAGTATTATACAGAGTAGCTGAACTAATCCCTCAAATACCACAAATACCACAGATACTTACTTGAATTATGGCTAAAATGATAACAATTTCAGTCTAATATTTCAGCTGAGGAGAGCTCACTATGCAGCTAACAGATCAAAAGTGGTGAGACCACATGATGCCTTATTACTTTAATTTAATAAAAATCGCACTCAAAAATCAAGTGAGGTCTTGTGCTATTCAAACAAATGGACAATTACTAATAATGGTTTGCTATATTAGCTTTAAATAGCAGGTACTTTTCTCATGTAGAGCAGGTTAAGTGGTAAGAATGTGACCAAAAGTGCCTTATTTACAATCATTTATGGACTTCTATTATGGTCAGTCCTACTTCATAATAAATTTGATTTAACTGCCCAAACATGACCTCATCTGAACTTCTTTTCAGTAAATTGAGGTCAATGGGTTCATGAAAAAGGCTCTGTTCTAACTTTCGCCCCCGTTTATGCCTCAAAACAATAATATTTTTGAAGGATTTTTCAGGATTAAGGTTTTGGAAGCAATTATCTTGGCAAAACAATTTTCCATTTTTCAGACTGCTAAATTTTGGCAATTTCCTGAATATATATATAGAAACAACTTGTAACTTGCATGGTGAAGATACTAATAATGAAAGGTTTGCGGAAACACCATGTGCGAATAATTTCTCAACTAAGAGAATGGTTCTGAAAAGAACCAGAGGTATAAACTCGACGTTCCGGTCAGTATGCTCTGACCGTCTTCAGGAGAGTGCCTAAACTGAAGACGGTCATAGCATACTGACCGGAACGTCGAGTTTATACCTCTGGTTCTTTTCAGAACCATTCTCTTAGTTGAGAAATTATTCGCACATGGTGTTTCCGCAAACCTTTCATTATTAACTTGAAAATACGTGGTGTAGCACGACAGTTTATTTCAGTCAGGAAACTGATTTGATTTTTTCCTCTAAATAAGGTAATTTTCTATAAGATGGTTACAAGCAAAATGATTCCCTCAAGGAACACAGTAACTATACATGTACAATGTATACACAATATCTGGGATTATCTTACACTCTATGGCTGATTTCCAAAGAACCGTCGGACAGACTGAATGTTCTTGGCAAGCACTTTACGCACAGAGTTACGAAAAGATCGATTCATCAATCCATAGATGGCAAAATTCCACCAACTGTTGGACATGGCCACCCAAGCTGAAGTGTACTGTAACCAAACTGGGTATTTTTTGCCAGAGTTAGTAAGGATAAGAAACAACTCTACAAAATATAACAACCAGCTGATGGCAAAGGCAAATGTGATGACACTGAAGACGAATACTGCTTTGCCGCGTACTGCAACCATCCAGGATACATGTACTCGCTGATGGTTAGGCTCTCTGGAGGGTCCTGTGGCTGGGGCAGCACCAATAAGTCTGAGTCTCCGAGACTGGCTGAAGCTGATCATGAGAAGTCTTACATTGCATATTATGAGCACCACTAGCGGAATAAAATATCCAAACAAGCTGATGTATATAGCTGTTGGTGCATCATAGTGTTCCAATCGAGAAAGTACAGTGCTTCTCTCGAAGGACACTTTGTTCACGCAACACAGGACAATTCCTGATGCGACAAAACTAAGACATATGACAACTGACATGATGACAGTTCTTCTTTTGGTGATGAGAGTAGTGTGACGGAGAGGTCTTGTGACTAAAATATAACGATCCACATTCAAACAAAGCAGAATGACTGCTGAAATTTGTGTCAATGTGTGAAGGAGAAAGTAATGTGCATATTGGAGCCAATTGGGGAACGGCCAATGTCCCATGACCTCACAGATGAATGATAGAAGCACAACAGGAGCCACTCCGAGATCCGACAGAGCCAGAGTAGTCATCAGTACTGTCGTACTCTCTGAGAAATCCTCTACGTTGTGAGTCACAAACACAGTTAGTGTGTTGAAAAGCAAAGTGGCCAAGAGATCTAAGAAAATGTAGGAGGCTCGCAGAGTGGTTGACACAGGGTCTACTTGGAAGTAGTCTCCAGACTCGAAAGTGCTGTTGCTAGATAAATCCATGATGTCTCAGATGAGGAATCTACTCTTCACTTTGTGGAGTCAATTCAACGAGAAAAATATCTGTGCTTTTAACACTTACGTTACCTCTAATGACATCAAGTCCGTATTGACCAAAATCTTGTGTCTCCTTTCTAGTCCTGGATATCAGCCTCCTGGTTGTTATTCTGATCACGTTGCTGCTCAACAAGCACGATTTATATAATTCAATCTTGATCTTGTGCACGACTCTTGATTAATGTTACTTAAAGCTGCTGTTATTTTTAAGAAACAAGTGCATTAATCAGTAACTGAAGAGGCTATTTTGATCCGCTGGTGGTTACAGACTTCTGTCTCTATTTTGTTGTAAAGCTCGATTGCAAATGATGGATAGGCCCAATAGGCAGCCAAAATTTTATCAGGGTAAACACAGGTTGCTGTCTGGCTTTAATCATGCACTCTTTGAACTTAAAGAGGGCTGAACAGAGAATAGTCATACTTTCTTAGTTAAGTCTTGGTCCATTTCGGTGATCTTGACGTGGGCGTGAATATGCAGTCGTGAATGTGCCACCAGTCTTGTATACTCACATCCCAATAGGTACATGTACATGTGCAAGTTTAAATTACCTCAGTTGTTCCAATTTCGACGATCTCTTGATATTGAAGAATTCTGTCATTTTCACCCCGTTAAAGTTGTCTTTACAATTTGTCGACTGCATAAAGTTGAAATGAAGAGTTGACACAGTTTACTCAATATCAGCTGTGGGAAGGAGATCCTAATTAATGATCCTAATTCAAGATAGATGAAAAGTCTGCCAGTTTGAAGTTATCCAGATCAGTTTGGTGCCATTCTGCTGACTTGTCTGGCATTATATTCATCCTTCTAGCTCATGCTCCTGCATCATTATGGCAGTTCAACTTACTTCATCCACACACTATAGTTCCTCACATAGTTGTTTATCCAGATCAATAAACAGGGCAGGTCCAATTCAATGTGCAACATTCCTCTCTATCATCATTCATCCGACTACTTTATTAGAGCGTTCTATTAACTGATTAAAAGCAGGCTCTAGCTTTCTGAAGTATATTTTCCACAAAACCGTTGAACCAGTATAAATATTGACAGAAGCATCCATTAGATAAAATTGGCTGTACATGCACGTTGGAAATTTGGCACAGGGTAGTGGCATATTCTCCTACTGCAACTGTATCCAGAAGTTAATGACAATTTACTGCAGTCCCAAAAATGATTAACTGCTTCAGAGTCCAATTAGGGCTTGCAGCTCCTTGAACTGACCGGTAGATCAGGCGATAAATGTCGAGTAAACAGAACGTTAACGTCTTAGGAGACATCTTGAATCTCTAGCTTCTGATTTTCAAAAAGTTGCTTGCCAAAGTCCTTGAGTTCCATTTTACATTACAGAACACTATTCTGGCAATTCACAAAAGAAGTATAGGGTCAAATGTTGTCAGGCTGCCATACCAACCAAGCTCCATGGTAACCAAGTTATTTAATCAGCCGATGCCAGATTTATAATGCTTCGCAAACCACACTGGACTGTAAAAAAAAAAGACTGGAACATATCCAGTCCTTGTGCTCCAAGAAGAAGAAGAAAAAAATGTCATTCCAGAAGGTAATGGGAATACTACACGCCAGTTAATAACATAATCTAATCTTGGTAGAAACAACCTCTTGGAGGTTTTGAATGAAGACTGTTTGTTCTGGGTAAACTGTGAATTTGGCGTCTTTGCTTCCAATTGTCAACTCTTAGCAACAAGGAATATCAGGTTACAACTTACATGTATATGGAGTGACATTGGTATTTATTGCCAGGGAAAGCAATAAAAATGCTTCAAGAATTGACTGAAAGAAAATAGGTCTTGAGTGAAATTGGCAGTAGTCTAATTAACATTGATTGTACATTTGAAGTTAATGACATACATTTGTAAAAGCCAATTTAAGTCAACCAATAACAGCCTATTTGATAAAAAAAATACAACTGTCAAATTGTCTATTCTAAATTTAAAGCCAACGTTCATTAACAAAATAGACAACCTCCTCATCATTGCATGCTGATTTCCACATGCAAGATTTGTATCATCAACTATTTAGTCACTCTGTTTAAGCTGCTGATTTAATTTGAGCCAATAGTAAGCTTTAAGCTCTCAAACTACTCTCAATCATACCCCCACACAGCCCAAGGTGATATGCCTGCGGGAACAATTTACACATTTAGAATTTTTATATGGCAGTTGGTTTCCAGAATTCTACACATTTAGAAAAAAAAAAGAAATGAGAAAAGAGTGTAGGAAGCACACAATGCATCTTTGATTTTTGTATTTTATTTAGCATACATGCAGTACTGGAAAGGGGATCAAAATGCTTCTCAACTTATATAATTTCCCTGGCGTGAAATAAGGTTGAGGACATTCCTCCAAACCTTTTAGGGCCAATTTAAAAGACAAATCTGTAACTTCTAAGAAGAATAATCTCATGAGATATATTACACCTTGGAGTTTGACCCCAGTAGTGATTTAGCAATGGTCATGCAATGTCTTTTCAAACAGACAACGTCTCAATGAACCAATGATGATAATAATATTGATTTCTTTAAAAACTACTTTCCACATCTCAAAGCGCAGTACAATTACATTACATTTAAACAGTGAACATTAAAAATTGGCAGAATTTGAAGACTCAATTACATTATTTAAATCTTAAATATTAAACACTAAATGAGAGGAACTGGTTTCATTAAAAGATTAAATATTCTCAATAAAAATAGTTTTGAAAAAGGTGTGTTTAGAGACAGGTCTCAAAAGGCTTATATGAGACCTGCTCCCACAAAACCCAGACAAAGTTGACAATTATTTGTTTTTAGGTTTTGACAAAAAAACAGGTACTGAGACTCGATCATGCACGTCTGGGAGAAAGGATAAAAGTGATAAAACCCTGAAAACCCAATTTTGAGATACATGTACATGTAATCACGCAGATTAAAATGCTTTTTGTATAATTTTCTGTACAATTCTTTCCCACTAAATAAAAAAAAACCAACACTTTGAGTTGATGTATGATTTTCGAGGAGATTGTAGACTTCCAGTTGCTGTTTCAGAAGATTTCCGAACGTCGAAATGGTCAGTTCCACCCCAAAAGACTTTGCATGCATTTTGTACAAAACAACAGCTGTAACTTTGTCCGTGTTTCATGAAAGCAGGTCTCAATGTATTTACAGAGCACTGTGCAGTTTATAGTTTTGTACAATTACATGTAATATGGTAGCTAGGTCTAGAGTTTGTCCACTGAACTCTGGTATCTTGGGACATCCATCCAGCTCGCAAGCCAATCCAAAACAACCACAACAACTCAGGACCAATGACCATGGCCTGACATCAAGAGTTTGACCGGGAATGATACAGCCACTGAACCCTATCAAGCAGGGAGTTAACAGCCAATACATCATCGACCCAATGGCCTTGACATTCAATTTAACCTGTGCCAGCAAAAGTACATACCGTGTACCGGTAGCTTAACTACTGAACCCTAGTAGGGTGACAGTACTCCAATCAAAGCAATAGTGTCCTTTCAAACAGCCAAAATTGAACCAATCATGGCCTTGACATTCAACCCAGTACTAAGGATAGCTCAGAGTGATCCTTGAAATCAAATGGGCAAGGCCTCCATATCTCACAACAAAACTGTTTCGATATGATATGTCTTTTAAAATCAGGCTGATTTTTAAGGCAACAATTTGCCTCTCACCTTCACCATTATGCTTTTCTGCACTGGATTTGTATCACCTACTGTAGCTTATAAGATTGTACTAGTCAGTGGGAAGTCAAGGTCGCGCTTAGTAAGCTTTGTATTTATTTCCTTTGATAGGTTGCGTAGAAATGTTTAACCTCAATAAGAGTGTTGGAAGAGCTTGACATTTCAATCGTTGTAAACTACAGTAAGGCTGAGGTAGAAATATCCTGCTTGATCAAGTTGGATAAAATGTTCTGGCCCACATCATTCTTTTTTTTTCTGTAGGTTCTCAGAAAAGACTGAACACACACAGCATTCTGAAGTAAAGCACTTGTTCCCATTAATTTTTTTCCCAATGTTAAATTGATATCTTTAACATATTTTTTCTTTTCTTTTTTACTTCACAGAACACAGACTTTGCGGTAAATTTCAGCAAAATAATGGATTGGTGCCAGCCACAATCATAAATTATAGACGCAATAAAAACCATATTATGTAGATGATAATATAAATACCAAGGATAAAGTCAGGGCAATTGGTCAGGGTAATTCCAGCCACTGACCTGAAAGATTCTTCTTATAAAAGAACAATTATGAATTATTTACAAGTAACTGATATTCTCGCTGTCACATATTGCCAACAGTTTACCAATAGGGTAAGGTCAGGGCAAATGCAGTCAACTGGCAAAAGTGCCAGCATAAAAAGATGAAGTGATTATAAATATTTATTTCTTTTAACAGGCACTCAGGTAAAGGCCACATTTGTTGCCTGTGCTTTTGATACATGTATGTGTACACACATGTGGATCAACACGACAAAATCCTGGATCAGGATGTGTCACATTATCATTAGGCTAAATACAGGTCAATTAAAAATGTTGCACCTGCGAACATACGCACAAGGAAACTCTTAGGCTTTATTTATGTTTTATGACATCATTATATCTTTAAATGTATACACCCCTTAGGACAATATTCCCTATAGAACAAGAATGAGTTTCAAAGAATTATAAGGATTATACTCGGAGGTAAAATAGACACATTTCATATAAATCTTAGAGTTCACCTTAAAAATAAGAATGCATGCGAGTGTTCAACAGCAGTTTCAAAAGTGTTCTGAGTATCAACAGTCAACACCCTGCAACATGCACAGTATACACCCTACAGTGGTCCTAATACAACAGTCAATATCTATGCCTGTGGCACTTTCAATGGTTTCTTTTTCAGATCAAGGAACAAGACATAACAACAAAAGACCACCAGAGTTCCACAGTTCAAAGAAATGAGAAAAAAAAACCTTTGGAAGAGGAAATTGCCCAGCACTATAAATTGTTCCTTTGGGGTTTCCTTTCAAGATTCTGTTTCCTTTCTGTTGGTCTTTTGACATCAAATGAAGATTGTGGAGTGCCGCCTTTTCATCTGGTATTCTTTTTTGTTGTGGTTTTTCTTTTGTGTATGATTCTTTTGAGACTGTAAGCAGAATAAAGAAATATACATTAGTGAGTATATTGATCACTTTCCTAATGCAATACTTAATGACACAGAAATTGCCACACTTACCATAGCAAGCGACAAATTTGATCCACTTTTCACCCCCACATATAAACTGCATTTAGGCCCCCCCAAAAAAAATATTCGGTCTCTGGTCAGACCAAAGTTCCGGAATTGACGTGGGGACGTGGCTTTTTTTTTCTTTTCTTCAAGCTTGGATTGTACAGACAAGGTGGGGGGGGGGGGGGTACTATTTTGCTTTTTTGGTGTCCTCATGTACATGTACATTGGTGTCCTCCATAATTTGCCTTGGTGCTCTCGATCATTTGCCTTGGTGCAATTTCCCATTTCTTGGTGCTCTTTGGTAAAAAAAATTGAGGAGGTGCGGCAATAGAGGGTTGGAGCTACCGCGGAACATTTTGGAAAAAAAAAAGATTGATGTGCATGATTAAAATCGACGCGCGCTGACCAGAGACCAACTTATTAATTTTTTTGGCCTTATGTTCAGTACATACCAGTTACTTTTCTTGATGTAATTAGCATATATTTCAGTTTGTAGTTTGTATAATTTATATTGTGCTAACTCAATTTAGCATTCATGCAGTTTTAAAGGTTTTTGCGATCTGAAAATCTACTCATTTTGAGAGTCAAACAATTCATTTGTTCAAAAGCAATTCAGTAAATATTAATAAATTTCCTAAATTAAAGACAAGTTTCAGATAAAACACTGGTTGACCCACCTACATGTACCTCCATGGTTGAACTCTGAACTGATGTAATTGACTGTAAACTTGGTCTGGATTACTGAATCTTGGCTGGTAAGTTAAAAAGAATATGACTTAAATCTTTCCAGTGGTCTAAAAAGTGGCTCAATTTGCACCTTTTATAGACCAGCATGTACATGTAAGTCCACACAAAGGCATTCAATTTCATGCCTCCGCAAATTGTTCTTTCCTATTATAGCCAAACCATACTTCCTATCCTTACCAGACAGAAGACAAGTAGGCCAGAAAACCATATTTTTACCCCACAGACAATTATGATTTGACCACAGATAGACAAAACCAAGCCAACTTATAACACACTGAGAACCACACACTAGCCATGGTCAATGGATGACCTGACCAGACTGACCAGCTTATCAATAGACCCAAGGGCCATGCACTGACCACATAGTGCCTGGCCAGACTAACCAGATTATCAATAGCTGACTGAC